TGTAGTTAAAGAAATCATTTGTGGAAGTCTGAGAAATTATAGAAACACTAACTTGTAATATTACTATTTTCTCTCAACTAAATGTGTGTCCCCCATAAAATTATTTCAGATTGCTGAAATTGCACAAGTAGATTAATATTAATACTTGCCATTTCTCTGCCAGGTGAATCTTTGATCTGCATCTGGTTTTTTTTTGGATGAGCAAGATGAGTAATACCAAAGTCTTTAAGCCTTCTTAGAGCAGGTTATATGTCTGCTTTGGTCTCAAGCCTTCTCTGCCACATGCTAGAGATTCTATATCCCTATCTGAAGAAATTTACATGCTTGTTTTTAATTTTAAATGCAGTTTACTTTAAAAAGTGCTGCCTTCAAATTATGTTGATTGAAACCCCTCACTTTTGTCATGCTGTAGAGATAACAATTCAAATAAGGACATACATGAGTAATCTGAATGTTTAGAAAGTTTTAAGGGAGTGAAAAAAGGAACTGTCATTCTTATTCTAAAATTTTACTTTTTTCCTGGTTTACATGAGAATGCCTTGTTTCTATGGGCTTGTGCACAGATGTGGATGGTTTATTTTTTATTGCTGAAACCTGTAAATGGATATATATTTTTGGGCCATGTAGTGTTGTGTGTAAACTTGATAAGACAGTTTAAGTTCTTTAAATAAAAAAGAAAAAAGGAAAAATATGTAAATACTGTCTAGATAAACATAGTGATTCATTTTGTTGTTTATTCCAGTCTTTTTCTTCAACAGATTGTTCTTGTGATTGCAGTTACTTAGAGTGGTTTTGATTGTGCAGTCATAGGAAGTGTGGATCTGTTTGGGCAGTGGGAGCCCCAGAAGAGGAGAAGGATGGATTTTTCTGTGTGCTTAGTGGCTGGAGGTGGCACTTTGTGCCATGGTCTAGTTGACAGTGTGGTGATCGGTGAAATGTTTGACTCAATCATCTTAGAGGTTTTTTCTGACCTAAGTGACTCTGTGATTCTGTGTTCTCAACTAACAAATTCAGTTTTATCAGGTGGAATTCTTGTGGAGCTGTGACACAGAAATTTACTTTTGACCTGCAGTAATTTGCATGCCTGGAACATGAATGCTATTTGTTATTGGTTTATAGAGGGCCAGGCTCTTGCTGGATATCTTGGTATGTACCTTGAATCCTTTTGGCTCTGTCCATTGTAGAATACCAGAATGGTTTGGGTTGAAAGGGACCTTTAAAGGTCATCTAGTCCAACACCTCTGCAATTATCAGGACATCTTCAACTAGATCAGATTTCTCAGAGCCTCGTCCAGCCTGATCTGAAACATATCCAGAATCTACCACCCCTCTGGGCATCCCATTCCAGTGTTTTGCCACCATCACTGTAAAAATTTCTTCCTTCAGACTACTCTGAATTTCTAGTCTTTCAGTTTAAAACCATTACCCTTGTCCTGTTTCTGAAGGCACTACTAAAATGTCCATCTTTCATACAAGCTCTCTTGAAGAACTGAAAAGAAGCAATTATGCCTGCCTGCAGCCTTCTCTTCTCCAGGCTGAACAACCCCAACTCCCTCAGCCTGGCATCATAGGAGAGGTGTTCATCCCTTTGGTGGATTTTGTTACCCTCCTATCTGGACCTGCTCGAACAGATCTGTTTTTCCTGTAGTGGGGACTCCAGATGTAGTACTGGATGTAGTACTCCACGTGGGGTCTCACCAGAATGGAGCAGAGGGGCAGAATTGCCTCCTCAAACTCAGTCCTGCTACTTTTGCTGTGGCTTTTCTGGATTGCAGTGCACATCACTGGGTCATGTCCAGCTTTTTATCCAACAGTACTCCACGTCCTTCTCTGCAGGACTGCTCTCAATCCCTTCATCCCTCAGCCTGTATTGATACTGAGGGTTGCCTCCAAGTGCAGGAATTTGCACAGTCTGCAGATCTGTACACTCTGAATATGCAGATGCACTGAAATAGGGAGAGATGTATAGTAATTACTGTAACTTTGGAATAGGAGTCTTTCTCTTGTCGTGTGTGGCCAGCAGCCAGGTAATTCATTGACTCCGTTGGAGTGTATAATTACTTGTAAGAATCAGATAGTTGTTCTTATAAGGCTAAGAACTTAAAAGATAGTTGTAATGTTTGTTGTATGACTAAAATCACTATTGCAATCAAAATATTGCCTTCACAAATGTGTGTATAAATGTGTCTGCATCCAAACACAGTGTTCATTGTATTTCAGGAAACACAACATCTCTGAACACTTAAGTGTGGTCTTATGTTCCTTTTTCACATTAGAGTCAATTAACATGTGACTGAAATTTTCAGGAGTACTAGTTACTGTCACAAGTCAATTTGTATTCAGTTATTATAGCATAAAATTGAAGAGAACACACAAATGGAAGCAGGGAGTTTTTGACAACACGCTTCATTTGCAAAGGCTAAGCAGCTCAAAAACAATTAGAGGAAAAATATAAAGGTTGAAAAGAGAAGAAAATAAAAAATGGTTATCTCTACTATATACATATGAAAAAAACCCTCACATATTCAGTCTAGAGCAAGAATTTTGATTAAAACCATCTAAGGACTGCCATAGAAACACTAATACTTGAAGGCGGTTTGGTTTTTTAAACACTATCCAATTTTTTTGGCAGATGCCTCTGTTTGAAGTTCAGAGATTCTTTTATGTTAAACAGTAGGTGCCTAATTAGAATAGTTTTGAATTGGAGGAGTTTCAGTGTGAGCAAGAGGAAGCTTAAAAATGTTAAGCTATTCATTTTACTTTGTGTAGTGTCTTAAAGCAGTGAAATTTGAAAATGGAATTTTTTTTAATTGAATCAGTCCTTGTGGTGAACAATCCTAACATGAATATTAAAAGGGAAGCACTGGGAACAGCATGTGTTAACACGTGTTATGTACATTTATTTATAGTCTAATGACTTACTTTATCTTTTTACATTACATGATAAGTAATCTTGTTTTGTGATTAACTCATCTATTTTAATTAAATGTTTACATTTTTGTCAAGTTGAATCACATTTTATTTGTTGCTTATACAATGCCATTATAAAGTAAGTTTGTAATAAAGACTTGTTTTATGAAGGCAAAATAACAAGCAAAGTAACTATTTCTTCACCATCTCTTTGGAGTGTCTGAGTACCATTGTTGTTCAGACTAGAACCATATTTCAGGAGTAATACTTTGTGTTACTTTACTGAAAATTGTTTTCTATAAGTATTTTATAATTTAAGACTGATTGCAGAATATAAAATCAGTCCAAGAAAGTTTAGATTTATTAAATTTTGTCGAATCCTGCCCATGAATGTAAAGCAATCAGAATTTGTTGGATAAATCAGAGGGGCCTTTTGCTTATAGCAGAGCAACATTGAACTTGAAGCAATTTCCTCAGAGCTGTGCCCAGGCAGGTGCTGAGGACCTTCATGGCCAACCAGTGCTTCAGCAGCCTCATTCCATGTCCATTCAGACTTTAAAGAGACTACTTATTCCCTGAAAGTTCAAGTGCATAAATTACATACCCTCTTCAGGATTTGTCCTAATTTCTTCTGCCGAGCTATTAATGTCTGTTTTCTTACCCTTTGTAATAATTCAGTAAAATTAAGTACTGTGGCATGATCAGGGCATGTCTTTCCTCCCCTTTAGTAGTAATATGTCTCTATCATGAATTCTGTATTTCTTGATCAAAATATTATTCTTAGTTTGAAATACTATAGAATTTAATCAGCTTGAATTGAAGAGGTTGAAAACCATTCCAATTTTTTACTCCTGCTGTTTTTCTATTCTTTGGTTTGGAACAGCATGACTTGAGTTTTCGCTTAACACTTTGGACTCCTACTTGAGTTCTTATAAAGTTCAAAGTTATTATGAACAGAGAAGATTTTTACCTTTACCATCAGATTTTTATTTCTGTAAACTGTATATTGAAATAAAATAATTGAAATTTGCTGCAGGTGATTAAGTCACTTATCAGTGGTTAAATGTGCTAGCTAATGGTTAAATGTGTTTCTATTTTCTTCAGTGTTTATTTACCAATTGTATTTATTGTATCACTTCAGTGCATAATTATTTTGATACATGTGTGTACTATGAACCAAAGTCCTAAACTCATACACCTCTAGGCAGAACTTGAGATGAGGCAGTATGGAAGACCTCTATTTTATGAATGCTTCTTTAGATTTTTGGCCAGGACACACCAACCAGGATGGGGCTGTAGTCTTCTTTTCAGCAGATTCTGAACTTAAGAGTGGGAAGATGTTGTTAGCTGATGGGATACCCTTTGCTTCTCTGACTTCCCTTCATCCCACAGAACAATGCATGTTCCAGCTTGTATTCATGGTCAGGTGCTAATTGGAATCAACAAGTGAAACTCCTTAGACTTAGGGATACTGTGGTTATTTCCATCTTATTCTTTTTGGCACCAACTTGCCAGTTTGGTCTGTAGGTACCAGAAGGAGTCATGCTGGAGTTGTTTCTGTTAATTATCTTTATTGAGTTAGTTCAGAGCCTTGTGCCAAGGGATCTATCAGCAATACAAGGGGTTTTTGTTCTGCCTTGCAATGTGTCTTGATTGATTTTGTCTGTATTATTTCCAATCTCCACAATTCATTTTTTCATTTCAAAGACAGTTTTGTCACGCAGGACTTGTATTTCTCTATGCTGAGGCCTGTGGAGGAGCTTGTTGCTCTTTTTCCAGCTATCAGAAATCAGTTGGTGTGCTGAGCATTAACAAAGCCCAGTGGGTTCCTTTTCACACTATTGCCAGTTCAGCAGATGGAACATTCTCTAGTTCAAAGAAATAATAGGAGATATTTGATAGGTATCTGAAAAATAGACAGCATATGCATTTTCCCACAGAAGTGTGCTCCATCTATCTCTTTCTGGTATGCAAGATGTATGCTCACCCACACTTCCTTCAGAGATCAGCATATTAAGTTCAGTCACAGTTCCCTAACACGAATTGAAAGTTTAATTTTGCTTCTTGCTATTGTTGAAATCAGTTTTGGCCTTTCTTCTTGCTCTTGTAAGCAATTAATTATTTCATTGAGGTGCAAAACAGGAATCCATATTACTCCTACATGCCAGTTCTACTTCTGCTTGAAAGAAATAAGGAAAGAGATATGTTTGTTCATACAAGTATTATAGAAAATAATTTTAAAGAATGGTAAAAACACTTGGAAGAAAAAAGCATCCTAATACAATGGTGTTTTAGTGTCAGATGAATGGAAATTGCTCTAGTAGAAAATTACATTTTAATGATATTTTTAATTTTAATAAAATTGATTTTTTTCATGGTAAATAACTAAAAGATTAGTGAATGCAATAGAATTAAGGCAAGTAGGGAAAAGAGTTAATGAATCTTAAAATAATTACAGGAATGTTTTAGGGTTTTATCAGTACATGTATTTTGGCCTTTTCTGTGTTACTTGGGGAAAATTAATATGCAGCTTAGAGACAAAAGAACAGGACTCCTCAGGTGTATTGAAGAGGAACAGCATAAAGGGGAGTATCAAAGAGGCAGGCAGTACCTTCCTCCAGAGCCTCTTGCTGTCTCTTGCTATTGGTCCAGGTGCATCCTGTTCAGAGAGACACTCAGAATGTGGTCAATGAAGATCCCTGGGTGTAAGCTTTTAAGCCTCCTAAGCTACATATGAAGAATTGTTGTGGAGGGAATTATGTTTATTAGCACATTAGTGCCAAAAAATGCTAGGTAACTGTACTATCCCTTTGCTGTTATGCATGATTGTGTCCAAAACGTGCCCTTAAAAAACCAAGCTTAGATATTATTCTTTTGAAACAATATTGTGTTTCTGCTTCTCAGCTCCTACTTATTGGAATATAGACACTATATGCTTTCTGTTTCCTTGTTACTTTTTTGAGTATTTTGCTCGAAAAATTTCTGAGTAGTTTTACAGCATAGAGTATATCTGCAGTCAGAGAAATGAGGATATCAGGTCAGTGTCAATGACACATCTTGGTCTATTTATACGTGTACTACATATGGGATGTCACAGTGGTTCATAGCACAAAAAATTGATTCTATGTAAGAAAATATGCTCTTGGCTACTGCAACCAGTTTCCTCTTTTCTGTTCATCTTTTTAGAAAATGTAGCAAGAACAAAGGAAAATTGATAGAGTGTAGACAAATTTTCTCCTATCACTTGCCAAAAACTTACTGGCTTTTAAGAAATCACATTTTTTTTCTCTTTTTCTTTTATTTTCTTTATTTATAAATTTGTCTTCTGTGTATCTCAAGTGTGAGACTGTTCTGAGCCATGAAATCTAAGCCTATGGGTTGAAACCAAATCAAAGATGTTATATTCTGCCTTTCCCATTTTCTTAAGTACTTTATTCTCACAGTTAATATTTATCTGATCAGTAGATGAAAAGGCAGCTAGGTGCACAATGTATTTTAAAGAAATTTATTTGCATATAATCTTCCTGCATAACAGGTTTTTTCTTCTTTTTATTGTTAGTATTTTTGCTGTTCTGATAAATATGTTTTTTAAATTCAGGAAGAGCTAACATATTTTAAGAAAATATTGCAGCATCCTGAATGAGAGAAAGGTAGACTTATAAATGCAACAGTATCCATTCCCCTCCCTTAAAGAAGAAAAAAAGCCATCAGGCAGAAAAAGAACAAACCTGGTTATATATGTTAAAAATACAAGATGAAGATCAGCTTTTAAACTGGGGGAAGGGGAAAATGTGGCCAAGACACCTTATCATGGGTGGGAGGAGGAAAAATGTTGAGAAACTTGTCCCTGTTCCAACTTGCTAGAACATAAAACTCTGGTGTCAACGTGGAAGGAATTCAGTTCTGTTGTCTTCTATCCATCCTTGAGAGGATCCAAAGCCAGAGGTGCAAAATGTTACAGGAGATACCAAGATCATCCTAGTTTTAAGAGCTTTGGAACTGAAGTTGGTACAAAGATCATCTACCTTTGTTTAAATTAATTGCCAAATTTAAAAAACAGTTGGCAGTGCTCAGTCTGAATCTTGCAAATAAACCTCTAAGAACTAATAAAATTGACTGAATTCATTTTTCCTGTGCTAGGAAAATTATTGTTCCATGTGTGAACTTTATTATACTTATATGTGAAATTCTGTAGTCATAAAAAGGATAATTTAAATAATGATGCTCTTTTTAAAGTAAACATAGAAGACAAATGTCATAAATCCTGTTCCTGCTAACAGTTTAAAAACACTTCAGAAAACAGAACCTGTCTGCAGTAGTCTGCTTCAAGTATGATTAATGTTAAGTATTAGATTTGCACAGCTTTTCAGTAGCTGATCCAATTTCAGTTCATCATGACAGAATTGAAACAAAAGCAAGCTATATTTAGAAACCTAAATTGTGTAAATGTTGAATAATGCTTTCCTGTTTAGTTGGGTTCTGAAGAAGCTTAGCATTGGGGTTTAAAATAAGCTGTTTCGGGCTATTAATATAAAATAATCTTCTCTGCTAAAGAATAGGGTTTCTGAAAAAAGGGTGTTTTCTGTAATATAGATAGCATATGCAGTGATTTACTGCTAAATATATCCTATTAATTTACTTTCATAACATTGGAGTGTTTTACTCTGCTTAGTACTGTGTCAGAAAACTTGAACTCTTATATTTACAACGGGAAACAGCAATAAGCATCTTGATCCATAGGGGAGTGTTTGAAAAGAGGTACTTAAAACCAGCTGGGGTAGCATTCCAGATAACAAAGCATACTCAACCAGGGATTTGTTAATTTTTATTTTTTTAAAACTTTGTTCATTTTTAATTTTGTATAAGATAAATTTTAGTGATGGATTCAGAGAGCATGAGAGGAAGCGTGGAAAAAAGGCTGAAGGATTCTGTTAGTATTTTCAAACTTAAATGAACGAGGTTTGAATTATAACTGACCAGATAAATAAATGTGTTCAAAAACCTCAGATTCCACTGACCTTAACAGAAATTTGCAGCTCTTAGTGCCTTTGAACATCAAGCATTGAACTAAGGATCTAAACCCTCAGTCTTTAACAAGCATACTTGATTCTTCTAGTAGTCATTCCTAAATTCAACATAATTAATTTTGTTGTGTCTAGAATAAAAGAGAAGACAAGACTTCCTTTATGCCATTTGATCACTTACAGTTATCCATTTTGTCCTTTTCTTCAAGTTTGCTGATCTTGTCAGGAGTTCATGATGAGCTTTTAGGGGAGACTATTTGACCATTTTCATGTATTCTGTATGGCTCTGAAAATGTGATTCTGTATGAAAAGCATGTAGTGTTTGCCTTGTTCTTACATCAGAAGAATTTTTTCTTTTGTCCATTTTATGCTTGTTTCCAAAGGCTTAAAATGCAAGCTTTGTTTCTGCAATAATGGCTTAGTGTAGGCTTACATTGTTGATCCCCTCAGTAGATGCAATGTAATCCACTTTGGTAATGTGAATTTTTAAACAATCATCAGCCTCTGCTATTAACCCTTCTATACTAATGGTAATACCCCAGAAGAACTACAAAGGCATTTGGTACTCAAGCTTAACATAAGACTTGAAGGACACTTAATGGCATTTACATTCCTTAGTCTAGTCACAGTGAATTGCTGAGCTGATGTTGAACTTGATTGGTACTGTATTCAATATAAAATAGTTGATTGTGAAGTTGATGCTGAAATACGACTTTGCAAAGGATTTCTTTGGGAAAATATAAAAAAATCCTTGAAATTTCCTTTGCAATTAAATGCTACTTGAGGATTCTTCTGTCCCTTGCTTTTGTTTGCTATTTAAATTATTTTTATTTGTCAGTAGTAGACTTTTCTCAAACTGCTTGGGTTTTTCTCTTTAAACTAGGTAACATTACCTGCTGAAGAACCTGCTATTGTTAGAACTATTCAGCCATGTTTTGATTCATTAAGCTGGTTGAGATAATTTTTTTCTCTAAAATAGGACAACTATTTATGGCATTCCTTTTCCTTAAATTAGTTCTGTTATGTCTTAGTAGCAGTTAAAAAAATTTTCTTTTCTCCTAATGCGATTTTTTTTAAATTGTCATTTTGCTCTATTTTTTTATTCTTACCTACTGACTGTTCTCTTTGTCTACCTCTGTTCTTTTTTGAGAAAACTGATAAGCCAAGTAAAAATTTATGTGATTACAGTGTGTGTGACCTTTAATATAAAAAAGAACATGGATGATTGAATTTTGTGTCTTAGCAATCAGAATTACTGCACTGTGTATCAATAGTCCCATTGCAAAGATCTATCAAAGTTAATCTGTGTTTACTGTCTCCCCTTGGAGTATTTTGGATATCTCTTGTGTGTCAGTAAGATGAAGAGCTCTCTTCTGTTTCACTGCACTGTGTGAAAACTACTTCATGTTTAATGAAACCAAGGTTTTACGAGGAATTGCTGAAGGATTATTAACAATGTCAGTAACTTAGCTAACATCCTCTCTGCAAAATTAGTACTCAGTTTTTTGAGTTGATACCACAATGAAAAAAAACCCAAACCCCCTGGCTTTGTTGAACATCACAATTTCAAAAATTTTTTTGTGTTTGGGAAGGTAAAGACAAGAGATAAGGAATAGTGCAAGAAGGGGACTAATTCATCAAGAAACATAAAGTTACATAGTGCAGACTTTTACTGTCATCTTACAGCTTAAAGAACAACTCAAGACAGCACACACCTTAAAAAAAATGTAAGAAAAAGCATTATTGTAATGTTTTTAGAAATGAGTATAAAATCTTCCAAGGACAATGCCAGCCTGAGCAGCTCTGGTGTAACAGCACCTGAAACCAGCTGGACAATTGAGAAGACAAGTAAGACGTGCTAGGAATGAGGCTTTTTCCCCAAACAGACTACTCCAAAAAGGACAGTCATCATGAAATAATCAAACAATCGAGGAGTCTGCAATAGAGTTAACAAATTGGTTTTATTTTATAGTGGATGGGAATGGAACAGCTGAGGCCAGAAAAAGGTAATTCTGTCAAACTTTGTTCCATAATACAGGAGTATTCACCAGTTGAAGATTACTGCCTGGGTGAGCAATAATTTTCTGTCCTTCCATAACTAGGTCTACATGAAGTGACTTGTCTGTTTGCTACTTGCAGTTATAGAAAACTCAAGTTCCATTACAGAGCTGGGTAGAATTAGTTTAGAAGTTCTGGTGTTGTTATTTGCTCTAAAGACATGTTTGAGGACCAGTGTAAAATGTTACTTTTAAAAGGAAATATTTTCTACTTAAGCATATTGAATGTTTTTGGGCAAGGTTTATGAGCCTTGCTTGAATGTTTTGAAATTTTTGTTTCATGGTGATAAATTGAACATTACAAGTGCATTTTGCTCACCAAGTCCAATGGATTGTTTAGGTTTTAGATCCTGTGTAAATGTTTGTGTAATGTTTAATAATATTCTGTCACTCAGTTTAAGGAAATAATAAAATGTGGAACTGAGAAATTGTCAAAACAAAAAGCCAAAATGAGGTGTGGGTGCCAAAGCATAGGTACTTAGGAAAGGTTTGCCTTACTTTTCCATTATTACATAATGAGTAATACAATCTTGTCTAAACTTTAAAAAAAATTCTTCCTTAAAAGGCATGAATCAGAATAAAGAAAGTCCATTTAGAGAATATAAAGTTCTTTACAATAGGGTTAGTGGGATAAGCACTGGAACAGGTCAGCTGGGGAGGCACTGGGTTCTCCATCCTCAGGGAATTCAATACCTGACTGGCCCCAGTGCTAGGCCATGTGCTCTGGTTAACTCTGTTTTCAGGTGGGCTGACCAGATGACCTCCAGAGGTCCCTTCTAACTTCAGCTTCAATGCTGTGATCATAAACACAAGTGCTTAACTATGCAATGAACCAAAGCAAGGAGAGTTTATTTCACCTCTAAGTAAAGTGATTTCATGTGCTGATTGCAGTCTCTTGTGTGTGGATTGGTTTGAAGGAATCATTGGACTGTGGAATAAACAGTATTACAGTAACTGTCTTTTTCTGAAATGTGTTCATTTTGTCTGTTATCGTAGCAACCACTTAGTTTTTCATTAATATAGTCAAAATAAAAATAACATTTACAAAAAACAGTAAACATTTTAGATTAAGGTAATAAAAGATCTGGATTTACTAAGATGGACTGCAAAAGATAAATGGAGCAGAGGGGTCTTAGAGGAAATGTACAATAATCAGCCAAGAACACAATTAGCAATAATTGTATGGTAACACATACAATTTTTGCCTTCTGACTACGGTGAGTGGGTATTCAAAGAAGAGAGAATTATTTTTCAAAAAGAAGCAACAGTGGCCCATCACTTTGAAGCAGCATTTTCAGAGTCCAAGTTGGAAAGCAAAAACTGTCTGATGGATACGTGCATTACATTTAAACAGCTTTTAAACATAGTTCCACAACATACCAAAAAAATGTCAAGATAGAATTCATTTTTCAGATACCTGGGCAGAATAATTTTACAGTTACTTCTACACTGTAGAATATATAAAAAGCTGAAAATATATAAAAACCCGAAAACTTCTGTGTGTGTTTAATGAAAATGCTGCGGCGTTAGATGGTTGTCAGGTGGGTATGCCCATGGCAAGTGAATTTTCAAAAATTAAATATAATGGAAACCAATTAGGGTTTAATGAAAGATTCCACACACACACTCCCCCCCAAGTCAGTTCTGTTTAGGATGGTGTATACTTTCACACTTGAGTGAAACTTAAGCTTTCTGATGATCATGGGAAAGAAAGATCCTTACAGTGTAAATATCAGTAAGTAATCTTTTCTTTAAATTTTAGTCCCAAGAAGACGAATGAAACCATCCAAATAAGCATCTGTTCATGAATTGTAGAAATTTTATTCTATTAGCCAAGAAGGATTATTAATGTCAGGCAATTCTGAGTTGTTTGAATCTCATGATTTTACTTCAGAAGACAAGAGAATAGTTAAGAATTTTGCTGCTGTTAATACTTTATGATTTTATTTTTGAAATCAGGTGCAATTTGAATGCCAGTTAAGATTAAGATGCTGTACCTGTTTTGCAATGCAACCTGAAAAGACATAGGTTATGGAAACATTGACAGTAGTTGAAAATGCTAAAGAACTCAGATTGGATGACACTGGTCCAAAGCAACTTAAATATTAGAAAGACTGAATTGGAATTTTTGGGTCTGTGTGAATATGTATGATAGGATTTCTGAATTTACTGTTCTTGTAAACATGGATACTCTACATTTTTTGTCCCTTGATGCTTCATCCAGTGTCTGAAGTCCATATATTCTGTGTAAAGATTTATGACAAAATGGAGTTCAGTTCCCTAAAGTCTTCTAAGTTGCTACAGCCTTTGGTGAAGGATGCAGAAGATAGGGATGTTTCTGGAAATTATAGCCAAGGGTGATGAGTCGTGAATTGTTTCTGATTTTCATGTATATTCATTAGAAACTCTGTGTGTAAGGAAGAATTCAAATAAATACATTACTTTTCTGCTTTTTTTTTTTTTTTTTGAATGTCCACTCTTTATTGTGTTCCTAAGGGCAGTTATCCAAAGCTAATAATAGAAATTGTAAAGTGTGATGTGTTTAATTATGTGGGTTCAGCCTTGTATGGTTTGCTAGTTACTGCCTAGACAGATAACTCTGCTTAGTTGTTATCCCACATAAACAAAGAATTACTCATGAGGGAAATCTGATTACCTGAAAGTAATGATCTAGGGTTGCATAATGTCAACAATTACTGGAGACTTTAGAAATGGCTGGTCACTGGCTGGTCTGTAGAATGGGTGAGATATGCTGGGATGCTCTTTAGTTGCTTCCAGACCCTTTATTTGCAAATTGTATGCATTGCAATATAACTTAGGAGTCATACAGTAGGATGTTGTTGCAGTAAGGATTTCAAATTACGATTTTTAATTATACAGCTATTTATTATGTGCAGTAAAGAATGAATTTTAAAGATATTACACAGGAAGAATATGAAAGGTTTTAAAGAAAATTGGAAAGAGGCCTTCTTAGCTACCACTGAAGAAGAATTATGGTATTAGAAACATTTGCAAAGCTTTCTGTTACAGAACATATGGATTCAACATCCCTGATGTTTTTCCAGCTGGGAGCTTGGCATACTTATTGTGAACTGTTCCTAGCTGCATGATCTAGAGGTCCATAGACTGGTTGAAAGTGACTGCTGATCTACAGTGACCTTCCTTTTTTTCCAAATGAAGC